TTGCTATCAAAGCGTTGTGTTATCACAGTGTGCTATACAGGGAAACCAGAAATCTTTAGATAAAAAAGAACAGATTGTTTCAATTGATAAAGATATCAGATGACTGTGTCATAGCATTGCTTCAAATATATCTTCATTTTTGTTATTTTTGTTTAAAATGCCACATGGTAAGGCAGGTGACCTCAATATCTGAAGTGAAAGGCGAGTGGATTAATTACCATTAGTGCTTCCCAACCAATCACTGTAACGATATAGTAACTTTACGCCCAGAGTTGTCAATTGATATAAACAAATACTTCACTAGTTATAGGGGTATAGTTACAATATGCCCATTTGTTTGACCCAGAAAAGGACTTTGTAAGGATTCTTTTCAATCATGACAATTTTTCTGAATATAAACAATAACAATGGTTCAAGAGGGTCAAGTGATAGCGTTCTAGTGGTTGTTATAGAAACATTTAGGGACATGATTATGAATACACCGTATGCTCATATCAAGTTTGTAATTTGTGGACGCATAGATTTATAAATAAAGAGTGTCAAGCAATGAAAGTAAACCTCCATGATATCACAGTTAGATAATACTTTGGCAGTTGTGTTATCCTTTTTAACTTAAGTATACTGTTTTATTGTGTGATAATATGGTGTCGATGTATGCTGTAATGTGAGATAATATGTTGTAGATGTATGCTGTAATGTGAGATAATATGGTGTAGATGTATGCTGTATTGTGAGATAATATGGTGTAGATGTATGCTGTATTGTGAGATAATATGGTGTAGATGTATACTGTATTGTGAGATAATATGGTGTTGATGTATACTGTATTGTGAGATAATATGGTGTAAATGTATGCTGTATTGTGAGATAATATGGTGTAGATGTATACTGTATTATTGTGAGATAATATGGTGTAGATGTATACTGTATTGTGAGATAATATGGTGTAGATGTATACTGTATTGTGAGATAATATGGTGTAGATGTATACTGTATTGTGAGATAATATGGTGTAGATGTATGCTGTATTGTGAGATAATATGGTGTAGATGTATACTGTATTGTGAGATAATATGGTGTAGATGTATACTGTATTATTGTGAGATAATATGGTGTAGATGTATACTGTATTGTGAGATAATATGGTGTAGATGTATGCTGTATTGTGAGATAATATGGTGTAGATGTATGCTGTATTGTGAGATAATATGGTGTAGATGTATACTGTATTGTGAGATAATATGGTGTAGATGTATGCTGTATTGTGAGGTAATATGGTGTAGATGTATGCTGTATTGTGAGATAATATGGTGTAGATATATACTGTATTGTGAGATAATATGCTGTAGATGTATACTGTATTGTGAGATAATATGGTGTAGATGTATGCTGTATTGTGAGATAATATGGTGTAGATGTATGCTGTATTGTGAGATAATATGGAATAAGATGTACGGTTTATGAATAAAATCTGTAGTTTGTCAAATGTTATTTCATATTTAACTGTTTTTGATTATCTCTGAATTGAGTTTTAACATCACATTGAAAACTGAATTGTGTGTTGTAGATGTATTAAAGTTGACGGAGAAATAATTAATGTTCACACTATACATCATGTGACTTTTTTGATGACATTTGACCTCATGGCATCATGACAGATGGTGCATGGAATTCTGATGTTGAGAATTCATTACTGGGAATTGCCTCAAAATTTTTACGGATGGTTTTCAACATCTACTGTTAGACAATGTGTTTTCCATTGCATTAATAGTCATTACATACATTGTATTTGACACGAAAGACCATGCATACCGTAGGATATTATTCAAAGTTAAAATCACATGAACATTCTTACAAAACTTTATACAAGAAGAGGAAATCTGAATAAAATTAGCATAGGGTAAGTTTCTTTTTTTTAGAATGTTGATTCAATTAGAGAATATTACATGGTTGGTGTGTTATCTATAAATAAATCATGCCTTACGGGGATGAAGGCTGTCAGACGCTGATAACATGTACTTATGTGTAAAATGTCGGTTCGGCATGTCCTGATTTGAAAAGTTGATTTCAGCTGCACATATATTCATGTATATGACCTTTCAGAATACATCAAATAAATTGATATTTTGAATATTTCGATATCGTGGGAAGAGCTAGATTCATTCATTTATATAAATGACAAGTGTCTTTACTTGGGGCTACAGAAATATCTTGAAAATTGAAAAGTTATTTCCTTTCCTAAGCTCTGCCCATTTTATTGATTGTGGGTTTCTCAGTCATATTTCATCCTGTTCGAAAGTCATCATTCCCACTGAAATTTAGGCGTCGCTTTCTTGTTCTTGTGCCAAATATTTATAAATGTAATAGTTTTTACTCCATCTTGCTTTAAAACATTTCAACCAGCCAGATCCATCATGTACAAGACTTGCTGCAAATGATAGCAAGTGCTATGCATTTCTAGTTAAAAAAGTCTCTGTGGTTATAGACAAACACACTGAACTTAGCAAATCTTTAGCTTTGCTGGCTTACTTTTAAATTGAAGCTTATAGGTATAGGGGTTTTAAAGGGAAAAGAACAATAAATTGCAAGAGAGGCAGAAAGCAATTTCCTTAAGGTGATTTCGACAATAAACAGATGCCTCCTCCTATGTCTTAGTCCAACTAGGGAGGGGGGATTTTGAGGGGCTTTGAGGCCCTTGGGGGAGAATCCCCCACCTGCGTTGTAGAAAAAGCAGCATCTGGGTACATAAAGTTGATTGTGTTGGTATAGGTCTGTCACAGTTGCCTCCCAACCAGATGCCCTGGAGTTGATGGTTTGGCGTGAAATGTAGCTGTGTATTTATCTCAAAATTGTACCTAAGTGTTTATCTTTGAAATCCAGAAAAGAACAATATTTATTCTGACTTCAGATAGTTGCTGAAAAACACCCCTAATTTTTTGCTCACTTGAGTTATGAATTCTGAAGTGCGCTATTTGCTTGGTATTGTATATACAATAGATTCCGTTTTCCATTGTCTGTTATGATATATCCCTCTCACTCTACATACATATGGGTATTAAAATCAGATGTACCACATCCCTAGCATCTCTTGAGAAATTCATCCTTCAGTATTTGTCTACCAATGATGTGCCCTTTCCGTAATGTTCATGCACTGTGCTAAGCCCAAGATTGCAAAATTCACTTATATCATGCAAAGCTGTATTGTGGTTAATTATCCCTGTATCTGGATATGGACCATTCTCATCTCTCTGTCAGACTTCATCTTTTACATGTCTATCATGGTATTCTGCAGTCTCTCTAACCATGTCATCGTGGTCTATCCCAGGTCTGGATGGTGATCATTCTTTTCTGTCTGTCTTCCAAACTAAAAAATTGACCTTTATCTATCACATGTATAATCCGACAACCTCCCTATCAATGTTATTACAGTTTATCCTTCACTGATTGGTATTTCAATTTTCTTGTCATTCTGTTTCTTAATCCAAAATTTCTCCTTAATATCTTTTCTTGTTTTGTACGGATTGCCTATGACATTCATCTATCATGAAACATCCCTCATCCTTTTTCTCATTCTTTAGTCTGGTGCCTACTGATGATAGATATTAGATTTCATTAATCAATACTACTTTTTTTACCTGAACTAGGTTCTGTTAGTAAATTTTTTTAACGAATCATGAACATAATTACCAGAATATGGAAAGACTGATGAAGTAGACAAATACCTTTTAAGATTCTGCAATATTCTTTTAGAAATCTTCTAAGGTTACTGAAATACAAGACAGAGTCTATTTGACTTCCATTAGCGGAGTTGAGATTAAAAGTAAAGACTTTTCAGCCATTATCCTGGTCAGTTGAAACCCAAGGTAGCCTAAGTAAGCTCTGTCATGAATATTGACTTTAAGGGAAAATCTCAAATGTTTTGAGAAATGTGTACTTATACTTGAGATTTCAACACAAAAATTAAGCTTAAGCACACAAATATATTTATTGTATTTGTCTCTTACTTTGAAGTCCTGACATTGAAAAAAGACATCAAATCTTTAATTTTCTTGAGGTCCCTTTGTATTGATAGGAATATTTAGTTATCATATTTTCTAATCTGAAAGATACAGGATTTACAAGCACTTCCACAGTATCTAATCCTTCATTTTTCATCGCATTGTCAATTAAGTTTTCACTATTTCAGGTCGTCTTATTTCAAAACATGATACAGGATTAATTTTGGAATTTGTAATTTAATACTAATAGAAATAATTTGTTTATCAGAGAAAATTCTCGGAGCCATGGATTTCTCGTCAATATCAAAGCTACAGGTAGTTTAATACCTGGTCAGGTGTACACCCCAGGTAGACTGCTACAAAGGGAATGCAGGATTATCTCTCTTATCATCAAAGGACTGCCGAAAGTCTTTACCCTACCCAGAATATTGAAAAAGTAGGATAACATTGTTCTCGGAAATCCAAAGTCTTAAAATTGTAGCCCATCATATTGAATAAGTTGGATAAGATTGTAATGACACATTTGATTAATACTAGCAATATGACTGGACCAATCAGTCGATGTTGCGATGAGTCACAGCCAGTCGGGATGTAACATAGTACATGCAGAATCATGTATGTAAATAAAAACACGACATTAAGGTTTAAATTGAAATAAATGTTACAGGTAATTGCAAAATGATCCCCTTGTCACAAGCCAAATTCACGCAATAATAATTTGACTTGAATGTTTTTAGCAATTATAGTTTTTGCACATGGAATTTGAACTTTGAGGTCAAAATGATATCTGCATTTACCTTTCCCTCTGCTCCCATTGAAAACTTTTTCTGACTCATTCTTGAACAGACACTTTAAAAGTCTTAATCCTTGCCTTAGCCCTTTGTCAAACTTTGAAAAATAAAAAGCGGGTGTAGGGGAGGGAATGAAATACAGTATTAAGTGACAGTATGCTATTTTCTTGTTTAAATAAATCATTTGCATTTTGTTCGTTTTCTTTTACAGCTGATTAATCCTGACTCTGAACGCAACAAGAATGAGTTAGGGCAATTGAAGAATCTGGTCCTTGTGAGTGAATTTTGTCTACCACAACAGGTAATTATTAGACAGTTTTCATTTTGATCATAAATTGCCTTATTTTTAAAGACGTGATTGATGAAAGGAACTAATGTTAATATACACACAATCAAAAATATGCAAATTTTTAATGTGCAGTAATTATTGCTCCCAATTAAGTAACAGAAAATTTGGTGAATTAGAGTACAGAATTGGGTTGATCACTTCCTTAATATTGTCAGATTTGCATATACCTTTCAATCTTTCTCCTTTTGGGAGTCTACCAAAGTTTTTGCTGTAAAGTGCTCCAGATTCCCATCTCTACTTCAGTATATGATGTGTTCCTTTCTTATTTATCCTTCCTTGCCCTACGCTACACCTGTGGTGGTTAGGAGAGTGGAAGAACAGGGTGTGGTGTAGGGTTTGAGATTTTTGGAATGGCATGTAAAGGATGTATGAGGTGGGGTGTGTAGAGACAAGGATTTGGGAGAGTGAGGGATGTGTTATAGAGGTGGGACATTGTTACCATGGGACGTATAGAGACAAGGAGTTTGGAGAGTGAGGGACGTGTGTAAAGGTGGGACATTTTTGTGACCATGGGACTTGTAGAGACAAGAAGTTTGGAGAGTGAGGGACGTGTGATAGAGGTGGGATATTTTTGTGACCATGGGACGTGTAGAGATAAGGAGTTTGGAGAGTGAGGGACATGTGATAGAGGTGAGACATTGATGTGACCATGGGACGTGTAGAGACAAGGAGTTGGGAGAGTGAGGGACATGTGATAGAGGTTGGACATTGTTGTGACCATGGGACATGTAGAGACAAGGAGTTTGGAGAGTGAGGGGTGAGTGATAGAGTTGGGACATTGTGACCATGGGATGTGTAGAGACAAGGAGTTTGGAGAGTGAGGGTGTGTGATAGATATGGGACATTGTTGGGACCATGGGACGTGTAGAGACAAGGAATTTGGAGAGTGAGGGACGTGATAGAGGTGGGACATTGATGTGACCATGGGACGTGTAGAGACAAGGAGTTTGGAGAGTGAGGGACGTGTAATAAAGGTGGGACATTTTTGTGACCATGGGACTTGTAGAGACAAGAAGTTTGGAGAGTGAGGGACGTGTGATAGAGGTGGGATATTTTTGTGACCATGGGACGTGTAGAGATAAGGAGTTTGGAGAGTGAGGGACATGTGATAGAGGTGAGACATTGATGTGACCATGGGACGTGTAGAGACAAGGAGTTGGGAGAGTGAGGGACATGTGATAGAGGTTGGACATTGTTGTGACCATGGGACATGTAGAGACAAGGAGTTTGGAGAGTGAGGGGTGAGTGATAGAGTTGGGACATTGTGACCATGGGATGTGTAGAGACAAGGAGTTTGGAGAGTGAGGGTGTGTGATAGATATGGGACATTGTTGGGACCATGGGACGTGTAGAGACAAGGAGTTTGGAGAGTGAGGGACGTGATAGAGGTGGGACATTGATGTGACCATGGGACGTGTAGAGACAAGGAGTTTGGAGAGTGAGGGACGTGTAATAAAGGTGGGACATTGTGACCATGGGAAGTGTAGAGACAAGGAGATTTGAAATTGAGGGACAAGTGATCAAGGTGGGACATTGTTGTGTCCATGGGACGTGTAGAGACAAGGAGTTAGGAGAGTGATGGATGTGTGAAAGGATGTTAGTATCGTATGTTGGTCTGACCATTCATGGAAGGTGTGGAGATAATAGGGGTTGTTAAAAAGTGTTCGGGGTTAAATCTATTTTAAGTATTAATACATCTTTCATGCCTACAAACATTCATGGCAGATGGAAGGATGCAATCGTAAATTTTGTAAACACCTGGATGCATACTCCCATTACATTTTCAGAATAGGTTTCAGCATTTACTCTTTAATATACAAAGTATACTCTGCCATCTTTTAGTGTAGTTCCTTTTGTCTTCCGTGGCCCTTTGAGTTGTTAAATCATACAATGAAATCGTAATTTTCTCTAAAACGAGATCGTGCTTTCTCAAGTGATTATTTGCTGATTTGAAAATTTCTGTCAAAGTTTCAATTTGACATCCCAGCATGGATGTATGGTTCATGATTACTCTCACAGTACGAAAGAAGGATCTAAACAAATTTCCACTCGAAAACATTCACGTGGGATGGTTCTCTTTTAACACAGCTCTACATGTATAAAGTCTTTAGTGCTGATTATACAACTTGAGCCAAGGCTTTATCCGGGTCAGTGGAAATGTGAAATTCATTCAATTTTTTTGAAGACACAATTATTATTACATATTCTTTTCTTAGCAAACTATGGAAACAATACTTCTAAGTCAGAAAGCACGTTTAAGTTCATTTGAGATGGAATTTATTTTAACCAACTACTCTAAAATAATGGTTATGTAATACTTTATTAATTGGATATTTGTCAGGATCTAATTACCAATATACTCATGTATTTTGATGCTAGCCCAAATACGGTGACTATCTTTATGGTTGAGGCAGATGTCAACATATACATTAGAAAAATTTATTTTAGTGACTACTGAAATGTGTCATTTAAATGTTAAGTGGGGAGAATGATGATGATAATCTCTGTGACATGTTTCAATTGACTTTTGAGTCTGTCAGTAATTGTAAAATGTTGATAAAAGTGATACACTGTGCTTTATCATTACAGTAGGTGATATTTTCAATCCAATTATATTATCACAACTAAATAAAATTATGTTATATGGTATTGTCTCCTATTTTTACTGTATAATAAATAATATTGAGAAATACGTAAATCCCAATCTCTATCTGAAAGAAACGCACTGACAACTTCGGGTAAGTCACATCATGATCTGTTGGTGCTTTTCCACATAAGATGCGTTTTTATCAGTCTACTTTAGTGAACAAACTCATTTACCCTTCAGAGACTTGACAAATTTCAGGTATTTCAGGAATCAGTATAAAAAACAATTCAGACAGATAATCCATGCAGAGAAACATTTTAAGCCTTTTCATACACCTACATCTTGACCCAAATTTATCATAAACTTGGACTGGAAAGTGGGCTGAGCTACTACATCATCAATTAATGAAAGGATTTTGATTGCCTAAGACAATGTAAGGGACTATTTTGAATGGTCTTGGTTTTGGTTGAATTTTGTTTTCATAGCAATAATTACAATGCCTTTAAGCTCAATTTTTTTAGAATAAGGATAATATGCTTGGTTTTATGCATAAACTGGAGAGTCGATCATGAATTTTATTGTTTTAACACTTGAATGTATTTTGATCAAATCTTTGATATATGCATAAAAACAAGCTTGTTTCCCCCTAAATATACAGTAATTAGAAATGGTGGTAATGTTTTAATTTGTTGTAGTATGCAGACCAGGTACACTACTGATAGGATTATGATTCTGATTTTAATATCTGAATCTAACTAATGGTGCCATGACCAGGACAGATATGTCATGAAAAGCATCTATTGTACGAGTTAGGGAGACTAAAGATACATGCACACGTGGTTGAGATAGCGATGGGGTGTGCAGCTTGATAAACATAGGCCAAACCCTTGTAGTTGGTGAAAATTAATTTTCACAATTTTTGGATACATGGTAACCAGATTATGATGTTAAGTGGGGAGTGTTTATATGAACATCCTACAGTCTTACCAATTAACATTCCAGTCCTCCAATAACAAGGAAACTTTAACGCCTCTATATATACATATAGTAACTAAGAAATTTGGACCTTGGAATCGGAGTTTGAAAAAAAAAAAGTTTGATAATTTTGGAAGCAATACATATCAAGGAGAATTATCTTCGGTTTTTTCTTTTCATATTAAGTTCATCTAGGACAAAGAATCTTCATTAATTTTGCAGATATATCGTGAAAATTTCCCCAGATGTGCTAATGAATATGTATATTTTGTCAGTAGGAATCATGAAATAGATAAAGTGAAAATGGACGAAATGTAAAAAGTTATACAGTTGAAAGTTTTTGATGTGTCTCTTGCAATGTAGATAGAGAAACGATCAGAGATTTGAGGAATTCACATAGAAATTTCTTGTTGTTAGACTGGTCAGAGACTTTCCTGGCTAGTTTTGGAATTGCTTTTTTGGTTCAGATGTTTTTTGTCAAATTTTGGAAAATGTCTTTGGCGGTGTGTTGACACATTTTAAAATCAATGTTATATTCAGACTATTGGAATAAGATCAGACCAACGAGAGAGTACTCTCAGCAAACTGTTCACAAGATCATAATTCTAACTAAAACGTGATGAATGCTTATGCGATGACACGACCATTTGAAATCTAGGTTTATTCCAGTAATGTCACAATGAGAACTCGACTAGTTGTAACTTAAGGCAAATCAATGTTGAGAATTGAAATGTCTAATTTCATACATTGTACAGCCCCATTTCTGACAGTCCTCGCTTTGTATTGAATCATGAGAATGCTTGAATTCCAGTTGTTTTATGCATGAAAATGAAGTGCACAGATGATCAAGTCATGTGATAAGTAATGAGGAAACGGAAAATGATAAAATTCCAGAAAATAAATTTGCTGGTCACACTTTGAAAAAATCTGTGTTACTTGGCGAAAAATGATTTTTTTGATTGGGAATGCCGCCAGTTATACAGAACGGAAAATCCCAGTTGGTGAATTTCTGTCGTGGTTCCTGTTTTACATGTTGGAGTTCAATTTCTAGCTAAACACACTCACATCAAGGATTCAGTACAGTATCTCATGCAAAATTTGACAAAATTATTTTTTTCATTTTTAAATTTAATGATTTATGAGATGTGTCTTACATCAGTAAAATGTTTTTCCAGAATGGTTTCAGTAAATATCTTATTTGATATGTTCACAGCTTATGTTTTGATCTTATCATTGAAGACCTGAGAAGCAATATAGGAAAAGTGATATGTTGGCAGGCTTAACAATTTCTCTGAGAATTGGAATATATTTCCTGTACCCATTGAACCAAGTACATGAAGTTTTCATGTATTTGTTTTGTCAAATTACATTTGGAAGTTTACGGTGTCAT